CGAAATCGTTCCCGCCTTTTCCTCTCTCCTGCAGCTGCCCGATGTTGTCTGCTTTGACGGTCCATATGCTATGCTTTCCAACTGTTCGTGTCGTTTCAACCTTTCGCCTTCGTACTCTCTTCTGTGTTCTCCGTTCTTGCCACAGGTAGGAATGCGCAGTAATTTACTATTCGTAACACTTAGGACGCATCCCTTCTACGCAGGACCCTAGGACGTATCTCCGAGTAAAGAAGTTGCTGGGGGGGTATTAAAAGCTCCCTAACTGATGTGCCCGAACTGCCCCGATCGCATTGAGTATAACATTTACATTTAAAGCCCGAGTTCCACATGGCTGTTTTCAAATTCAAGATTCTTGAATATAAACCCGCCACAAACCAGGTTACCACCCGAAGTGAAGCATTGCATCGCTTTGAAGAGAAGTGGTTTTGCAACTGTGATGCATGATTGGCCAACGACAAAACAAGGCTTCCGGAGTGAAGTGTCAACTGGCGATGGAGCACTGTTCACATTCAACAAACTTGAAAACCAAGTTGTACTATTTGGCAGCCATATTCAGGCACAATACACGTAGTCTTCTCCGCTATTCAGGACCAACAGAGCGCGTGAGCTCTCATTTTCACAATGGCAGCAAGCTGTCTGTATCCTTAGAGCAGCCTGGTTGTGGTTCTCCAAAAAAAGAATAGCATGGATAAAGAAAAAGGTCATCGGAAAAGCTCATTTCTATCAGGACGATGGCGCTCACATGTACGTGCGAAGCGCAAGGAACGGGTGCTTGCCTGGTTTCAACACGCTTGCCAACTCCTCGACGCACCCCCTTCCGCCCGTCGCACTCTCTTCCTGCCCGCACTCTCTTCCTGCCTGCACTCCCTTCCGCTCGTCGCACTCCCTTACTATCAAACTAAAATTATGCTTATGTTGTGTAGGCTGTAGAGGGGTAGCCTATATGGGGTACAACCCAACTAGGGTTAGTACTTGTACTCAGTTTGATGTCAATGCAATCATTCGTGCTCATCAGATTCTGACATGGTTTTAGAGCAGTAGGTTCGTATGACCGTTTTTTTTCGGGCCCACCATTAGCTAATGACCGACTGCGATTACCGCGCTACCCTGGGCCCTTACCTGCGCTGCGCAGTCAGCGCGCACCCTGCCCTGCCCTGCCTAGCGTCACACAGCCCGTGCATGCCTTGCCATGCGTCGCGCTGCCCCGCGCACGCCCTGCTTTGCCCCGCGTCGCGCTGCCCCGCGCACGCCCTGCTCTGCCCCGCATCGCGCTCCCCCGCACATGCCCTGCCCTGCCCCGCGTCGCGCTCCCCCGCGCACGCCCTGCCCTGCCCCGCGTCGTGCTTCCCCGTGCATGCCCTGCCCTGCCCCGCGTCGAGCTACCCCGCGCACGCCCTGCCCTGCCCCGCGTCGCGCTGCCCCTAGCACGCCCTGCCCTGCCCCACGTCGCGCTGCCCTGCGCACGCCCTGCTCTGCCCTGCGTTGCGCTGCCCCGCACACGCCCTGCCCTGCCTCGCGTCACGCGCCCCTGCAGCCCGTCGCATCGCGCGCCACTACAACCCGTCGCGTCGCGCGCCCCTGCAGCCCATCGCGTCGCGCGCCCTACTGTCCGTCGCGCCGTGCGCCCCTGCAGCCCGTCGCATCGCCCGTCGGCCCTGCTCGTGCCCGTCCGCCCTGCCTGCCTGCGCGCCGCCCCTGCCCGCCCCGCGTCGCGCCGCCCCGTGCACGCCGCCCGCGCGCAGACCCTTGCAGCCCGCGCGCCGCTCGTTTGCAGCCCGCGCGCCGCTCGTCTGCAGCTCGCGAGCCTCCCCTGCAGCCCGCGAACCGTCCCTGCAGCCATCGCGCCTGCCTCTTGCAGCCCGCGCACTGCCCCTGCAGCCCGCGAGCCACCCCTGCAGCCCGCGCGCTTCCCCTGCAGCCCGTGAGCCGCCTCTGCAACGCCATCGCGCCCTGCTGAACCCTTAAAAAAAAAAAAAAAAAAAAGAGCCCTAGGTGCTGCTGCCCTAGGAGCTACTGCCTGCTGCCGCGTGCTACTACACTGCTCTGGCTGCGCGCCGCCCTGCTCTGGCCGCACGCCGCCCTGCTCTGGCCGCGCGCCGCCCTGCTCTAGCCGCGCGCAACCCTGCTCTGACAGTGCGCCGCCCTGCTCTGGCCGCGCGTTGCCCTTCCCTGACCGTGCACCGCCCCGACCTACCCTAGTGCCTCCTCGCCGCCCTTACGTGCTGCCCTCCTGGTCGCATGACTTCTTTTCACAGCAGCGGTGGGAGTGGTGGCGGCGGTAGCGGCAGCAGTGGGAGTGGTGGCGGCCTCAGTAGTAGTCGCTTTGAAGCTGCTCGGTGGGGAGTTTATAGCGGTGGCCAGATGCAGCTGCAGCGACGTCCGAGCGAGACCCGTATGCCCCAGCAGCTTTGTGAGTGGTACGCTAGTAGGTGTCGTGGCGGCGGCAGTAGTGGCAGTTGCGGTGCAGCTAGTCAGTTGGGAGTTTCTGGCGGTGGCCTGGTGCAGCTGCATCCGCGTCGGTGCGAAACTCTTACGCCCCAGCAGCTTCGTGAGTGGTACGCTCAGTGTGGGGGGTCTAGGAGTAGTGCTCGCTGCCCGTACGTCATTCGCACAGGTGATCCGGCTGGTCAGACATGCGGAACACCTAGCCACACACAATCGCGCTGCTTTTCCTGTCTGAGCGACACCTAGCGTGTAGAGTTTGGCGACGCGGCTGAGCTCCCCCGCTGGCTAGAGCTGCTTAGGCAGGGCGTGAATGTCTTTGCGCTATACTATGATGCTATCCTTACTGCCATGTATGCATTGACTATTAGTACTCAGGGTGACTGCTACCTGTGTGTGCCGCCCGACTATTGCTTTAGGTGCTGGTGAGTCTGCTCTCTCTGGTATTGCGCCTGTTGAGGCCTTACACACCTTCACACTTGACGCAGGTTCTTCCCGCTGCTTCTTTCTCGCAGCACCGGCTACAGTCTCTCTGGCTGACCCCTCTGTAGGACCGGTTCGTGCACGTTCCTCCACAGTTCTCCCGTGTCCGGCGGTTCCGTCTGGCTCACTATCAGGTCTTCACCTCCCCTTGTTCTCTACGAACTTGGTGAGTAACGCCGTCCTTCAGGATGCTAGGGTTGATACCTTTATCCCTGAATGACAATGTGTGGCGATTTGCACGTGTGCACGGACGGGCCATCACCTGGCCACGTTCACCCGTCGGCCTGGGTCGAGCCTGTAGACACTGACTACTGAGCCTCCTCAGGTAGCTCCGTCTGCATCAGGTCAGCTAGCAGCCCCGTGTTCGTGTCACCTCCTGTCGCACCAGACTCTCCTTTGGCACCACTGCCTAGGTCACCCCTCTTTGCCATGCCTCCGTGGCATGCACTCCTGCCTCCTTGTCTTTAGTCTTCCCAGGTCTCTGCCTCCCCTCCCACACTCGCCTGCCCCTCCCTGTCTTCCCTGTGTCGAGGGGCGGCAGCGCGCCACTCCTCACTCCTCCTCGTTTCCCCCGACGACTGCTCCCCTATAGACTCTCTGCATGGACGTGTGGGGCCCAGCCCGTGTCCAGGGACAGAGCCGCGAGCGATACTTTTTGCTGGTTGTTGACGACTGCTCGCGTTACACCACGGTCTTCCCCTTGCGCAGCAAGGGGGAGGTCCTTGATGTCTTGATCCCTTGGATCCGCGCTGTCCGTCTCCAGCTCCGCGAGCGGTTCGACACGGACCTTCCTGTCCTGCATCTGCACTCTAACAGAGGTGGTGAGTTCTCGTCCGACCTCTTGCGTGACTTTTGTCGTGGGGAGGTCATCCTCCAATCGTTCACGCTTCCAGCCTCTCCTCAGCAAAATGGGATGGCTGAGCGCCGCATTGGCTTGGTCATGGAGGTCGCTCGTACCTCCATGATCCATGCGGCTACTCCCCATTTTCTGTGGCCGTTTGCGGTCCGGTACGCTGCGTATCAGCTCAACCTTTGGCCCCGTGTCTCCTTACCGGAGACCTCGCCTACACTGCGTTGGACGAGAGAGGTTGGCGATGCGTCGGTGTTCCAGGTCTGGGGCTGTCGTGCCTTTGTCTGCGATACCTCCGCGGACAGGCTCTCCGCCCGCGCCGTTCCCTACGTTTTCCTTGGCTTTCCCCCTGACGCGCCTGGCTGGCAGTTTTACCACCCCACCTCGCGCCGTGTCCGACCCTCTCAGGATGCACGCTCAACGAGTCGATTTCCTTTTACCGTCTCTTCCCCTACCGCACTGCCCCTCTCCCCCCCCCGCCGCTCTTCCTCGCTCCAGGTCCCCCTCCGGTAGACCCCCTCCCCCCTCAGGGTCCTGCTCTTTCAGCTGTGTCTCAGGTAGATGTTACAAGACTAAGTCACAATACTAAGTTAACTAGGAACCGGGGTTTACTAACGGGCCTAGGCTTAGTAGCCTAGGCCAAGCGGGTGTCGAGAGAGTTGTGCCAAGGAGGATTGAGAATGTGTGTTGTTCACTATAGCACACAAGGTACATATAGCAAACTAGCTCTATGTGCACCACCAACAACAAGGAATCATAACTACACTAGAGCTAAAGCTACAGGCACTTATAAACATATATAAATATATATCGCAACACACCCCCTTAACTGCCTGCAGCACATAGCTAGAGTAAGTCACACCCCCTGAAGGGGTATTGCAGGCGTTGTGAAAGACGGTAGAGAGGTTAGTGAGGAGGAGGAGGCGAGTGAGAGACAGGGGAGGAGAGGAGATAAGAACAAAGGAAGAGGTGAGTGAGGGATGAGGAGAGGAGGTGGGGGGGTGGCCGCGGCGTCCCCTCTTACTAACCCCCTTTTACACAGGGGGGGTTGAGTGGGGGATGAGGAGTGGAGGTGGGGGGGTGGCCGCAGCGTCCCCTCTTACTAGCCCCCACATCCCCACCCCCAATCAACCAACCCCCTGTAACCTCACCCCCCATTTTCAACCGCCCCCTGGAACCGCACTCCCTCCCCCCTTTTCTTCCTCCAGACCCCTCCCCACCCACGATGGTCCTTGTCCAATTCTTCACAGGTGGGGCTGCTGGTCACAGGTGGGGCTGCTGGTCACAGGTGGGGCTGCTGGTCACAGGTGGGGCTGCTGGTCACAGGTGGGGCTGCTGGTCACGGGTGGGGCTGCTGGTCACAGGTGGGGCTGCTGGTCACGGGTGGGGCTGCTGGTCACAGGTGGGGCTGCTGGTCACAGGTGGGGCTGCTGGTCACGGGTGGGGCTGCTGGTCACAGGTGGGGCTGCTGGTCACGGGTGGGGCTGCTCGTCACAGGTGGGGCTGCTGGTCACGGGTGGGGCTGCTGGTCACGGGTGGGGCTGCTGGTCACAGGTGGGGCTGCTGGTCACGGGTGGGGCTGCTGGTCACAGGTGGGGCTGCTGGTCACAGGTGGGGCTGCTGGTCACAGGTGGGGCTGCTGGTCACAGGTGGGGCTGCTGGTCACGGGTGGGGCTGCTGATCACAGGTGGGGCTGCTGGTCACAGGTGGGGCTGCTGGTCACGGGTGGGGCTGCTGGTCATAGGTGGGGCTGCTGGTCGCAGGTGGGGCTGCTGGTCACAGGTGGGGCTGCTGGTCACAGGTGGGGCTGCTGGTCACAGGTGCCTGGTGCTGGCGGCTGGCGCTGGTGCTGGTGCCTGGTGCTGGCGGCTGGCGCTGGCGCTGGTGCCTGGTGCTGGCGGCTGGCGCTAGTGCCTGGTGCTGGCGGCTGGCGCTGGTGCCTGGTGCTGGTGGCTGGCGCTGGTGCTGGTTCCTGGTGCTGGCGGCTGGCGCTGGTGCCTGGTGCTGGCGGCTGGCGCTGGTGCTGGTGCCTGGTGCTGGCGCTGGTGCCTGGTGCTGGCGGCTGGCGCTGGTGCTGGTGCCTGGTGCTGGCAGCTGGCGTTGGTGCTGGTGCCTGGTGCTGGCGGCTGGCGCTGTTGCTGGTGCCTGGTGCTGGCGGCTGGCGCTGGCGCTGGTGCCTGGTACTGGCAGCTCGCGCTGGTGCTAGTGCTTGGTGCTGGCGGCTGGCGCTGGTGCCTGGTGCTGGCGGCTGGCACTGGTGCTGGTGCCTGACGGCTCGCGCTGGTCCTGGTGGCTGGTGCTGGCGTAACGGCGCAAGTGCCGGTGCTGGTGCTGGTGACTGGATTCGGTGCTGGTGCTGGTTCCTGGTGCTGGTGGCTGGCGCTGGTGCTGGTGCCTGGTGCTGGCGGCTGGCGCTGGTGCTGGTGCCTGGTGCTGGCGGCTGGCGCTGGTGCTGGTGCCTGGTGCTGGCGGCTGGCGCTAGTGCTGGTGCCTGGTGCTGGCGGCTGGCGCTGGTGCTGGTGCCTGGTGCTGGCGCCTGGCGCTGGTGCTGGTGCCTGGTGCCGGCGGCTGGCGCTGGCGCTGGCGCTGGTGCTTGGTGCTGGCGGCTGGCGCTGGTGTTGGTGCCTGGTGCTGGCGGCTGGCGCCGGTGCTGGTTCCTGGTGCTAGTGCTGGTGTTCCGCCGCCACTCCCTTCCCCCTTTTCCTCTCTCCCCCACAGCATTCCGCCGCCACTCCCTTCCCCCTTTCCCTCTCCCCCCACAGCGTTCCACCGCCAATCCCTTCCCCTCCTCCCTCTCCCACCCACAGCGACCGCCGCTGCACACGCGAACAGTCGCGACGGGGGGGGGGTGACGGGCAAGGGGGTGGGGGAATGCGACGGGCGGAGCGAGGCGACGGGAGGGAAGAAAGCGGGACGGGGGGGGGGGGGAGGGGGGGGGGGGGGGAAGGGCCGCGACGACCGCCACGGACGCCGTCCCCTTCATTCCCGATTCTCCGCGGTGCTGTACGGTTCTAGGCGGGGTAAAGTAGCTGGTGGGGCGGCTGACTTCAGGGTGAGGTGACTGGAACGGGTGGTACAGCAGGCACCGGGTGGGTCAGCGGGGACGGGTGAGACGGTAGCGCAGCTGACAAGCTGCGAGTGCGAGTGGCTGTTGCTGCGCGTGCGTGCAGCTATGGCCGCCCGTGCGTGCTGCTAATGTCGCGCGTGCGTGCGGCTAATGCTGCACGTGCATGCGGCTAATGATGCGCGTGCGCGCGGTCGCATGTGCGGCTACGATTGCACGTGCGCATGCGTCTGCTGTGCGCTAGTGGGCTGGCGAGCTACGCACGGGGCAGAGAACGGGTGAAGCGCGGGTGAGAAAACTGGTGACGCACGGGGCAAAACGGGTGACGCAAGCGGGGCAAACGGGCGCTACGGACTAGATCGGGGCATGGGGCGGTGGGCCCATAGGACGGTCTAGCTCTATACCATGTTACAATACTAAGTTAACTAGGAACCAGGGTTTACTAACGAGCCTAGGCTTAGTAGCCTAGGCCAAGCGGGTGTCGAGAGAGTTGTGCCAAGGAGGATTGAGAATGTGTGTTGTTGACTATAGCACACAAGGTACATATAGCAAACTAGCAAAGGTGCACCACCAACAACAAGGAATCATAACTACACTAGAGCTAAAGCTACAGGCAGTTATAAACATTTATAAATATATATCGCGACAGTAGACCCACTCCACTTGGTTGAGCCTGTCGAGGTCACTGGTGACTCTGGTGCTGCTCGGGGTGCTGCGTCTGGAGGTGGTGAGCCTGCGGTTGCGGAGCCTGGGCGTGCGGAGCGTGGAGGTGCTGAGCCTGAGCGTGCGGAGCCTGGGGGTGCTGAGCCTGTGGGTTTGGAGCTTGGGGGTGCTGAGCCTGCGCGTGCGGAGCCTGGGGGTGCTGAGTCTGGGGGTGCTGAGCCTAGGGGTCCTACGTCTACACTACGGGAGACTCTCTCACCACAGCAGTTGCGCGAGTGGTACGCTCGGCGCTGTAGCCTTTGGAGTGGCGCTGCTGGAGCTGGAGGCCCTCGAGTTGCTAGTCCTGGAGGTGTTGGAGGTACTACTGGTACTGGTGTTACTAGAGGTGGTGGAGTTACTAGTTCTGGAGGTCCGACTAGTGCCTCGCCCCAGCAGTCTAGCCAGCGTGAGCCTCTCTCACCACAGCATTTGCGCGAGTGGTACGTTCGGCGTTGTAGCCTTCGGAGTGGCGCTGCTGGAGCTGGAGGCCTTGGAGTTGCTAGTACCGGAGGTGCTGCTAGTGCTGGAGGTGCAGGAGGTAGTGGAGTTTCTAGAGCTGCTGGAACAGGTGGTGGTGCTGCTGCTCGAGGTGCTGGAGCTGCTAGTCCCGGACGTGCTCGTACTGGAGGTACTGGAGCTGGTGGTGGTGCTGCTGCAAGAGGTGCTGGAGCTGCTGATCCCGGAGGTGCTCGTACTGGAGGTTTTAGAGCTGCTAGAGCTGTTGGTGCTACTGGTGCTGGAGGTACTGGAGCTGCAGGAGCTGGTGGTCCTGCTGCTGCTGGAGGTGCTAGAGCTGCTGGTCCCAGAGGTGCTCGTACTGGAGGTACTGGAGCTGCTGGAGCTGGTGGTGCTGCTGGTGCTGGAGGTATAGGAGCTGTTGGAGGTACAGGAGCTGCTGGAGCTGGTGGTGGTGCTGCTGCTGGAGGTGCTGGAGGTGCTGGAGCTGCTGGTCATGGAGGTGCTCATACTGGAGGTACTGGAGCTGCTGGAGCTGGTGGTGCTGCTGGTGCTGGAGGTACTGGAGCTGCTGGTGATGCGGGCTCTGGAGCTGGAGCCGCTGGAGCTGGAGGCGCTGGAGCTAGAAGTGCTGGAGCTGGAGGCGCTGGAGCTAGAGGCACTGGAGCTGAAGGTTCTGGAGCTGCTGGAGGCGCTGGGGCTGCTGGTACTCATACTAGAGGCGCTAGAGCTCGTGGTACTGGTGCTGGTGGTACTGCACAGCGGCGACTGTTCTTCGCTTCGCCGTCACCGTTGTCTCTGCCACCGCCTACCTCCACGCTTCACCAGGTTCTTAGCCTCCCGTCTTCTACTGGCCTCCCGTTACAGCCATGCTCCCCACTGCCTGCTCCTTCTCCATACAGTGAGTAGTTGGACTCGCTTACAGAGCGTCGTGAGCCTGCGTCTCGTCCTGCCTCGCCTGTTTCCGCTGTTCACAATGGTCGCTGTGTTCCGCATCCGCGTCCTCCTCCTGTCCCTGGCACGCACACTATGGCACTTTGTCCTTCCTCTGTTCCACTACAAGTTCTCCTTCCGTCTCCTCCTGCGTCCTCTCTTCCTGACAGTCCAGACCCTGAGTCTGACCGCGCTCGTGCTGCCAGTACTACTGTCATGCGTCTCCTGGCCACTAATGTCACTGACCCTTCGTTTGAGTCCACTATTGCGTCTGCCCTAGTCGTTGAGCTTGTTGAATTTGCTGCTGCTTATCGTCTCGACTACGCCACAAGTCTTGTTGCTGAGTCTGAGTCTGTCTGTCCTCCGTCCGTTGGGGGTGAGTGCGCTCTTGGCACGGACGTCCTTGAGGACAGGTAGAGGGACTTTGAGTGTCTTGCAGCTGCTGTACCCCATCTCGTGTCCATGCTGCTTGCACCTGAGGGAGACCCGGATGCTCCAGACATCCCGACCCCGCGCTCTTACGCAGAGGCGATTACGGGTCCCTACTCCTCTCAATGGCAGACACCCATGGATGCAGAGATGGCATCTTGGAAGTCCACTAGCACTTACGTCGACGCAGTTCCCCCTCCTGGGGCGAACATAGTCGATGGCTTGTGGATTTTCAGGGTGAAACGACTGCCGGGTTCTCCGCCTGTCTTCAAGGCTCGTTACGTTGCACGGGGCTTTCTAGACCTGGGAGTTGACTTCTTCCAGACCTTCTCCCCTACCCCGAAGATGACCACTCTTTGGGTGCTGCTGCACGTCTCCGCTCAGCGCGACTACGAGCTTCACTCTCTTGATTTCAGCACATCATTTTTGCAGGGGGGCCTGCACGAGGAGATCTGGCTGCGCCGCCCACCTGGCTTCACTTGGTCATTTCCTGCAAGTACCCAGTGGAGCCTCCGACGGCCAGTCTACAGTCTCCGCCAAGCGCCTCGTGAGTGGCATGACACACTGAGGACGACACTTGCGGCTCTTGGGTTTTCTCCTTCGACTATTGGCGCGTCGCTGTTTCTCCGCACCGACACTTCGCTGCCGCCGTTCTACATCCTTGTGTACGTCGACGACTTGGTCTTTGCCACTGCTGATACTGAGGAACTGGCCCTTGTGAAGTCGGAGCTGCAGAAGAGACACACGTGCACAGACCAGGGTGAGTTGCATAGCTATCTTGGCTTGCAGATCACCCGTGACAGAGCACGCTGCACCATCACCCTGACTCAGTCACACATGGTGCAGCAAGTCCTTCAGCACTTCGGCTTCACTTGGTCCTCGCCACAGTCCACTTCTCCGCCTACCAGTCGCTCGCTCTAAGCTCCACCTTCGGACCTACGAGTCCGTAGAGCCGAGTGGCCCGTAGCCAGAGCTTGTGGGCTGCTTCATGTACCTGATGACCTGCACTCGACCTGACCTTGCTTACCCTCTCAGCATCCTGGCATGCTACGTTGCACCCGGGAGACACCGACCAGAGCACATGGAGGTCGCTAAGAGGGTGTTGTCCCAGGAGCACAGACTAGAGCACAGGATGAAGCACATCGCTCTGCGTTACTTCCTTGCTTGAGAGTTGTAGCAGCGTGGTCAGCTTCGTCCTGCTTACGTGGCCACTTGGGCCAACACTGGTGATATATTCACCAAGGCACTTCAGTCTTGTGATCGTCAGCGTTTCTATACTGCTTTAGGCCTTGTACCTACTTTGCCTCACTTGCTTACTTCGTGACTTTGCTTGTACTATGTTCTATATACTTGTACCTGCATGCCTACACCTGCTAGGTTGTTTTCATTGTACTGCTTGTTCCCATATCTATAACTCTGCATATGAACTGGCCTTGTGGCCACTTGCTTGTGCTCAAAGTGTGTGGTGACTTCGTGATCCACCCTGAGCTTGCTTTGCTTTTCTTGACTGGTCTTGTGACCCCTTGTTCTCCCCCACTTTGCCTACGGGGGTGTGTCAAACTATAATGAGGCTTATGTTGTGTAGGCTGTAGTGGGGTAGCCTATATGGGGTAAATCCCAAGTAGGGTTAGTACTTGTACTCATTTTGACGTCAATGCTATCATTCCTGCTCATCAGATTCTGACACTTACGCCCATTGCCCTCCCTTCTACTGTCGCCCTCCCTTATGCCCGTCGCCCTCCCTAGCGCTCGTCGCACTCCCTAGCGCTCGTCGCATCCCCTTCCGCTCGTCGCACTCACATCCACCCGTCGCACTCCCTTCTGCCCATCGCCCGCCCTTCCGACATCGCCCTCCCTTCCGCCCGTCGCCCTCCCTTCCGCTTGTCGTCCTCCCTTCCGCCAGTCGCCCATCGTCCTCCTTTCCGCCCGTTGCCCTTCCGCCCGTCACACTCCCTTCGTCTCATTGCCCTCCCTTCCTCCCATTGCCCTCCTGACCCGAGCCGCCCTACCTTCCCCTCGTCGCGCTCCCTTTCGCCCATTGCCCCCCTTTGTCTCGTTGCCCTCCCTACCGCTCGTCGCCCTCCCTCCTGCTCGTCCCCTCGCAATCCCCGTCTCTCTCTCCCCTCGTCGCCTTGTCATCCCCGTCACTATCGCCATCCCTCCCTTCTCCCTTCCGAATTCGCACACTTGTCACGCCCCCTTTCCAACCCGCACACATCCTTCTCTTCCCCCAATGATCGCCTTTCACCACCACCACAGTTCGGTGAC